TGGCACTCACGCGATCGCGGTCCCGCGCTCTCGCGGGGAGACTTGAGGTCTCGGTTTCGAACGAGGAGGCGGTCGAGCGTGAGACAACTCCCCAGGGAAACTCGGGCCAAGAGGCGACTAGTGTATCACAGGACATCGAAGACAGTAGGGCTCCGGATACGGTATTGGCTGCCGAACGCGACGAGCCTGCGGAGGTGGATGAAAGCAGGGCGCTTCAGGAGAGCGTTCAGGCGTTCCTGCTTGGTCCAACATCCACTAGTTTTCCACGTGAAAGCGACGCGCCAGCTAACAGGCTCGTACAGCTTATTGCCGAAGAGCAAAGTCTCACGGAGAGTCAGCGTGATGATCTCACGAAAGTAGTTAGAGACTACGCAGACGTGTTTTGCGACAAACCAGGGAAAACCTCTTTGGTAGAGCATGATATTCAGTTATCAAGTGAAGAACCGATCTCTAGCAAGGCTTACCGCGTATCGCCGAGGCAAAGGGAGATCATGGAAGCCGAGATCCGGCGCATGTGTGACTTGGGGGTCATCATTCCAGGTGAAAGCGATTACACCTCCCCACTCATACTAGTCGAGGTTCCGGGAAAGGACCCTAGGCCATGCGTGGACTACCGCCGGCTAAATAAGATCACTTTAGATCAGACGTATCCGATACCTAATATCGAGGAGAGAGTAGAAACCGTGGCAAAATCCACATATATCTCCCTCTTAGATCTGGTACGGGGATACTGGCAGGTCCCGTTGACGGAGCGAGCCTCTCGTTATGCCGCATTCATTTCCCCATTGGGAACATTTCGCCCTTTAATGCTTGCTTTCGGCTTAAAGAATGCTCCCTACTGCTTCTCAAACCTCATGGATCGGGTGTTGCGGGGTTTAGGAGATTTCGCCCTGCCGTATCTCGATGATGTGGCGATATTCTCTGATACGTGGGTCGAGCATGTGACTCACTTGAGGACCGTTCTGGCTTGACTACGTGATGCAGGCCTCACCGTGAGAGCGCAGAAATGCCACTTAGGGTGCGCAAGCGTAAGTTATCTCGGCCACATCGTGGGTCGTGGCCAGTGTAGCCCGTCCGAGCTGAAAGTTGCGGCCGTTTTAGAGTATCGTCGTCCCACCACAAAGTCGGAATTGAGGGCGTTTTTGGGACTGGCGGGGTATTATCAACACTACGTCAAAGGTTACTCAAACCTCGCTAGTCCGCTGACGGACTCTCTCCGCAAAACCGAGCCCACCGTCATTTCGTGGGACACAAGAAAAGAGAATGCTTTCAAGAGCCTCAAGAGCGCTCTCGCAAAACGACCCGTGCTAGCGGCACCGGACTTTTCTCAGAGTTTTATTATTCAGTGTGATGCCAGTGACCGCGGCCTAGGAGCAGTTTTGTGCCAAAAGGACGCCGAAGGGCACGAGCGGCCAGTTTTGTATCTCAGCAGAAAGCTCAGTGTCAGAGAGGAAGCTTACAGCACTTCAGAAAAAGAGTGCGCCTGCCTTGTTTGGGCAATTGGTAAGCTAGCATGTTACGTCTCAGGGTCGAGCTTCATAGTAGAAACTGATCACTGCCCCTTGACTTGGTTGCACAACATGTCGTCTAAAAGCGGTCGTTTACTTAGGTGGAGCTTGACGCTTCAGCACCATAACTTTAGTGTGCGCTATAAGAAAGGGAAGCTGCACACAAATGCAGATGGTCTCAGCAGAGCTTATTGAAGTGCAGCCCAGCTCCCTCATACAAGTTGAGGCACATCCTTCTGGTTTGACGTGTTTTGCATAATTTTGGCGTCTATTATTTCGTTTTGATTTAAACTGTATCAACAATGTCGCATTGCACTAACAGATGTAATTTTGTTTGAAGTGTACTCTGATATGTTACCAGGAAGCCCAGCCTCTACCATTCTGGTAAAATTGTTCAAAAAAATTGCACAGAATTGGTTTTGGGCTGCTTCAGCGGGTTCCGACCCGCTCGTATGGCATTGGGGATGGTTTCGCGTGGCCTTTCTTGGCATCGGGACTGCGCAGTGTAATCACAGCATTCGTGAGGGCCAGTGTTTTGAGGTCTCTAAGGGATACGTTTCTCGTGCTTTTTAAAACGTACAATAGTAGAGACTCAATAGATCTATTTGCTGCCTTGGTCTGGCGCTATGAGAGACGTTCAGAGGGTGCTTGCTTCCACGAAAGTGGTTTGGCTTTGCGTTCAACTCCGTCGTTCCAGTGATTCCCTGCAGGGCTCTGAAGATCACCACGGAGTGGCTACAGTATCGACGGTCAACCAGCATCCCTCCTTCCGAGCCGCGCTGACGGCTCAAAACTCCGGATGCATTGTCTGGCGGCGGGGGTGCTGTTGTGCCACAGACATGTTCCTCGTTCGGGAGCACGTCTCACAAGATCGAGCCCTGTTTCGATGAACTGTCTCCCCCCCCCCCTCCCAGCGCCGCCTTTTGTGCAGGAGAACCGTGCAGTTCCGGGGACAACGTCGCTTCCTCCGCCGAACCACTTTGCAGTTCCGGGTATGGCTACGTCTCTCCCTCTGAGCCCGAGAACTGGTCTGAGAGAATGGACCAAAGACGCTATTTAAGGCCGAGCCGGCCCCATGTTAGGAGATTTTTGCCCCAGCCGACGTTGTCGTGCTGGCCGGCCCTGTACAAACGACAACCTGCTACAGTAAACGCTACTTTTGTTGCTGTTTTCCAAACGGATTGCCTCCCTGTTTCACCTTCGGGCTAAGGCTTCATCGAAGTCCGCTCGACGGCTCGCCGCTCTTCGCCACCGCTACCATCGCGACAGAGCAAAATTCATAACAACATACATAATATTGACGTGTTGTTATGGGGCCTCAGATATGCGCAACAATTGCTTTTCAATTGACAACCGCACAAGTATGAACGCTGAACCTTGAGCAATATTGGTGGGCGCTGCGGATGGGGTCGGCTGTTTGGAGTATCTTTTGGCCACTTTGGTGCCGATTAGGGTACCGTTAAGGGCGGACAAACAAACAAATGTACAGACAGACAGACAGACAGACCAAAATGTTTGTGTCGAAGGTCCCCAAGAAAGACTATATCGTTTTCAAAAGAAAGAAGAAAGGTCGCCACGCTCCACTCTTCCTTGAGGTGCTGTTCAGCCACGCTCACCGACGGAGACAGTCCACGCAGTGGCCGCACTGAGTTTTCCCGCTGAGAAAGCCAAGTGTACGAGCGACGAATGGTTCGAACTTCTACCGGGAATGTCACAGCTAGTTTTGCACGTTAGCTCCGGCGCTAGAGTTTAAACATTTAACCGCTCATTATACACTCCTCCATGACCATGATCATGCGGGGTACAATGTGCGGCATGTGAAATGAATCCTGTGAAAAACATAAGCCAAACGTGTGTCTAGCCTCATTAAGAAGCACAAGCATGTCACCAATAATTATGAAAGGCTTCAGTGCAGCGTCGGATTCAACCCACTGCTAAACACCGGGGTCGCACGTTTCAGCTTTCACTGGTTAACCACTCGTATGGAGTGCCTGGGCGGTGATTTTTTTTTAATGTGAAGCATTTCTTATGCCCGTATTCATAAACCAACCTTGGCCTTACCTCAAGTTTTTCTCAAGTTCCTGTACTCTCTGTGTGTGTTATAAGGGTACAGAAACGGTAACAGGGTAAAAGATGACAACAATATCGGTTCGTGTGCACTGGCCTACTTTGTTGTTCATCAATCGCAATAAAGGCTTGAAACCGATCAGGAAAACTTAATGTGAAGCTGAAGTTCGTCTGTGGATACGGGCCAGTCACACGATGTCACGCTTCGGCGGCGGCACCGTCCACACACCCCCACTGCGCATGCTCGCATCTCGTGCCAAGACGTGCACTCTCGCGTTTAGTGCTGGCCCAGGAAGACATCCAAACAACTACCGCTCCTCTCCCCTTCTCTCACCTCGCAATGCCAACGGAGGCAATGTCTGCTAGTACACAAAACGATTGCTCGCGGTACCCAATAGTTTACTTGCCACCCCGTACATGTAAGCACTGGATCGCGCATTCGGAGTTCAGTTAAGGGCGCCTTTATTTGGCTTTCGCTTGACGTTGAAGGCAACGCTTTTCCTTCATTCAATATATAAGAATAATAAAGACGAAATAAGAATTCAGCATTCCCGAACCACGCCGACGCGATATGCGGGACATTAGGGAAAGGCAAATGGACATTAATAAGTAAGTTATAAGACAGAATAAACAAAAAAAGCAGGGAGACACAACCGCTATCACTTATCTAACCAATCTGACCGTATAAAAAATCATGTAGCGTTTCCGCGAAAACAATTTAAATATACACTTTTTTTAAAGCATCACATAACGTGCCACCTTTCCGTTCAAGACAAGCGAAGAGCGAGATCACCTCGAACGAAAGTTCGCAAGAGGCTTGCAACATTCCGCGTAGAATGGCTGAACTCAAGGTTTCTCTTAGTTTATACGACAACCCAGCACAAAGTGGTGACCGTATCATGCACGAGATGGTTGCGAGAAAAAAAAACGACACCTCCGGTTTGCTTAACGCACTTCTGTCGCTTCAAAATATCATCTGCGGAAATGTAAGCATATTCCGTTCTTCTGGAAACGGCCAACTGATATCCCAATACACAATGAAGGCACGTATCCGTCAATGGCCAGAAGTTGCAGTCCGATAGCACAAGCTGTATGTTCTGCGAAAAATAAAAAAAAAGAATGTGGAAATCACTCGCATCCTACATGCAGGTTACAGCCTTCTGCGCACGCATTTCACGCTGTCTGGTGTGTCCCGTTATGGCGATAACCGAAAAATTATTGATTAAATCGTGAGAAACTACATATTCACTACTGTTTCCCGCTAGCCAATAAACTGGGTTTCGTGGCACCTAGAATTATGTGAATGGACCCGAGCAGAAATGAAGCGCAGCAGTTGACAAACAATCTGAGTTCAGTCATTGTCAAATCCGTATCTTATTATTAAGATATCACCGGCAGAAGGGCGCGATATGTCGAAGTGAAAACAGTTCATCAGCAGGCGCTTTGCGTTGGTGCCGCGGGTTTTACTAGCGCATAGCTTAGTAGTTTCTAAGAGCTGCAGAGCAAGTGAGACTGCTGGCCTACTTCCCGTGGAGCGTAAGTCCCCTCTGTCAGCATCCTTGGTGCTACTGGAGACGTGCATTTCCCAGGCGAAACACCCATGGCACAGGCGTCTGCACCAACTGCACCGCGCGATGCCGGGGCACCGTCCCCGGTGAAGGCAGGCACCGCGGTTCAACCGGATGGCGTCGTCACAAGACGGAAAGAAATTGCAAGCGAGAATCGAACCAGGCCCAACCTAAAGGATATTGACGGACACCTACAGCTCGGAAATCATGCCTCGAGAGAAGGCTCCAAAAAGAAGCAGAAAGCAACCGTTAGGCCTCGTCAAGCGAACCATGCCGCGGCGCGAAGGGTGCCTGGATCCAACCCCGGCTACCCTGCGAAAATGACCGTGGCCAGACCACTCGGTAACAGCGGTTCGGCAAGAAGGCGGCCCGGTGGTCAAGGCTTCTCGGCGTTCTTGGAACAATGTAAGCGCCTGCTCGTGACCACGTCTTACCGAGGCTCGGTCAAGAACCCTCTAGACGCCCTTGGAGTCGTCTTCCTATCGTTCCTGGCCGCAAGCTTCCCGCTCGAACGGTATTTTCTCAGGCGCCAGAAGTCGTCCCGTGTTGGAGTCGGCAACGCCCCGGCGACCTCTCGGAAACCCAGGGTCACCGACGGCCACTCTCCCATGTCTGACGCCATTCTCTTGAGCGTCGACAAGGAGACTCGCCGGGCTCGCTGCACCACGGTCCAGTTGGGGCAGGCACGCCAAGCTGCAGCGGCAAAGGCCGCTGAGGCTGCGGCTAAGGCTTCTGACTGTACCGTCCACCACCCACAACCCGGACCGAAAGACAAGCCAGTCGAAGAGATCGTTCCGGTTCTAACGTTTCCCCAAGCTGCGGACGTGTTCCAGCATATGGCAGACTTCCTGGGACCCGCCATGCTGCAGGCCGCCAACAAGGGGACTGCTTGCGCCTCGGGGTCGGCGGACCGCCAGCAGCGCTGTCCTCGGTTCGGACGCGGCTTCCTGGCCATTCGACATGGTGCGTCCGTGTTCCAGACTGAAGAGTTGAAACCGCGTGGTTGCACCTTGTATCATCCGCTCACGAACGACATGATGATCAACGTGCTCAACGTGGACCAGTTAAGCTTCGAAAGCGGCCAGTTCTTCTTGGCCGACGCCAAGGGCCTCTACATCGGCGCCAAGAGCGGCCACGCCATCCACTTCTGGAGGTACGGCAACGTATCCAGAAAACTCTTTGTATCTCAGTCCATCCTATTCTTAAAGGAGGAAGACTACATCGGAGTCCTGCAACAGCTGGACTACATCTAAGCACTGTGAGCGTCTATCGCTCGTAGTCGTCACTGAAGATACCTCTTAGCGGACGTTTAGCGAAGGGACTAGCTAGCTTTCTTCGTGGCATGTTCATGATGCTGTGAATATTTGCAGCGACACGCGTGTACGGTACGTACGTACGAGCACTGATTCAGGATGAAACACATCGAAGGCTGTACATCTACTTGTAGTGCGGCGCGTCTGATTTGTCGTCATAAGTGCAAGAAATCTTAGAAGCTTGAAATTAACGACAGAGGTGGTTTCACACGTTTCTCTTTCCATGGAATGTAATTTGTTGAATAAATTAACCGCTTGATTATATAAACGCTGCTGTTTTCATATCACAGGTGCACCTGTTGCTTATGCCAGCGGTTTTTCTCACTGCGGCTAATTGATCACATAAGGTATAAAGCATTCCCTTCGTGGTCCTTTGGAATTGATGTACAGATTTAAACACTTACTTGCGACGTGTAGCGTGAATGTGCCTGCGAAGCAACTGAATTAATAATCTAGCTAGGCACGTAGTTGGGCACGTTCAATCTAGGCCGCTAGCAGACGTCGGTGCGCGCATCCCACCGCGCAGCAACAACCTGATCATAAAAGCGCATAGGTGGTTGCATGCGCAGCAGCGAACCTTGTTCTTCTATCTCTCCGTGGCGAAAGTTCAGTGCTACTTGGACGCAGCCACTTGAATTTACGGCACGCAGTGTAAGCTGCGCCGATACCGTCGTCGTCACAGTCGCCGAGGTGCCCATCGATCATCTTGTCCTCCCGCCAATTCTGGGCATTGTCACGATAGCATCTTAAATATACTTTTGCGCGTCCGTATTATGCAGTTGATACATCTGAAAATTTTATATCTTTCTCGTTAGACTACCGAGTAGTGAAAAAATTTGTAGGACGCATGAGTCTCGCCTTCAAGAGCAGAACGTGATAGCGTAATCGGGTCATGCCCTCATCACCTTCTCAATTGGTAATTATCTTTGGTGGTGGATGCCTGAACCGAACCGCAAGAAAACTAACGTCTGTGCGCGTAACGCGGGTCGTTTCTAATTATTCTAGAATCCTTATCGGAAGTGATATGGCGCCCGCTACGGCACAATTCTTCATTTTAAGAATTATCGAAGGGGCCCCCACTATGCGTCCGTAAGGCAACACGCGAACCTATGCAGCTGCTCACTTTTTGATGCTGCTGCTGCTGATGGTGATGATGATTATCAAGTATTTTTTATGGAGAAAGAAATGATGTAGGCCCGTTTGCTCAGGTTTGGGTGCACGTTAAATAACCCCAGGTGGTTGTAATTTCTGGAGCCCACCACTACGGCGTCTCTCACAATCATACGGTGATTTTGGGACGGCGTTAAACACCACATATCAATTAGTCCATGATGATTAAGTACGTCTTAGCGGTTTGTATCGTGCGGACCTTTAAAACAATCACTCGTTGTGCAATTTACATGTTTCGACGCCTGGCGTGATTCTAGTTTCCTGGCACGCAAGCAATACTACATGCGTTAAAGGGAAGTGCAACTATAAAGTCGACATTTATTGTTGAAATAGCGGTCCGGAAACCTCGTAGTGTTGCTTTTGTGCCAAGGAAGTGCTGGTTTTGAAATAAAATCACGTTTTAGTGGCCCGCATAGGGTTAACGCACTTCAAATTACCCGCTTCAAGAAGCAGTCCGACTCAAGTCACTGTTGCCGTGCAGAACGTTGCCCAGCTTTACTGCGCGGTCGCCGACCCTAGTAGACAAACCGAAAACAGCGGGAGCCACAACGGCAACAACGACAATTGATCAATTTCCTGTCATGGCTCCAAGATTGCAACTTATTCTTACACCATGCCTTGGCCATTGATTGATTGATTGATATGTGGGGTTTAACGTCCCAAAACCACCATATGATTATGAGAGACGCCGTAGTGGAGGGCTCCGGAAATTTTGACCACCTGGGGTTCTTTAACGTGCACCCAAATCTGAGCACACGGGCCTACAACATTTCCGCCTCCATCGGAAGCCTTGGCCATGGTGCCTATAGAAATATACCAGTATATTTCTAGACACTGTACCTTGGCTAATGCCAACGGCCTATAGGCAGCGCGTAGTGCAATCCAAGATTAAAGTTACTGTATATGCTCCCTATACCTAAGGTAGCACACACAGTATATCTATCCAAAATGGCTGCGGGAGAATGCATAGAGTTTGTACATACTTTAATATTTCAATAGATGCGTTAACATTTCATTAAATGCGAAGCAGCACTTGGACTAGCCTGTGTAGCGCTGTCCCTCCGTCTACACTGCTCCCCGCGCCACAGGTGTTGGAGCGGTGCCAAGTAGCTCACGCCCTCCTAGCACTGCGCAGTGACGTCTCTCTCCCTCGCCTGCCGCTCGCTCGCCGCGTGCATAGAGAAAGAAAAAGACAAGAGAAGGCACTCCGCGAAACCTGGCCTCAGGAAGTGCGTCACGACTACGTAACGAACTAGTGCTCTCACCAAACGTCAGAGGACGCAAAGGCAAAAAAAAACAGTTATAATCAATGCAACAGAATTGTTTTTTACAAAATAATAATTATACGCCCAAATCTGGTATGTTCTTTATACATAAAAACAATTTATTCAACACACCTTACGCGATTATTTTTCTTCAGCCGTACTGTCAAAAACACCATCCACCCAGCGATAAGCCCATGCATGACTGACAGCGGGAAGCTTTCGTCAACGTCGGCTGCGTCGGTGTTTTCGTGCGTGAGATAACAGGTGAGGCACGTTTTCAAGCGAAGCTTGTTGAATGACATGTTGTTGGGCTTGTTGGGTCATTTTTTCAGAAAACGGTTACACCTGCGCGAATAAGACCAACACCATGCACCTAGACTATTCACAAAGCCCGTTCATACCCCTCTCTCCAGACGGCATACGTCACGCTAGTTGTCCGATGTTATGACCGGCACAGCAAGGAGGTGGCTTGCAAGGGACGCTCATCGGCGTAACGGTCAAACGCTGTCCGCGTCCTGCAGGAACGCGGGAGGCGTCTGTGTGCGCCGCAGGAAATGCACATCAGCGTCGCTGGGACACACAGTCGGCGTCTAGCGCGTGCACGGACGGCTATAAAAGGAGCGTGTCGGGAGTGCGCTGTGCTCTCTCTCTGGACTTCGCTGGCCCGCTCGTCTCGAGTGCGCTCTGGGCCCTTGTGATGGAAAGGCACGTCTGTACGCTCTCGTTGCAATGTACTTCTCTTGCAAATATGTAAATTAAACGCATCTTCTACTTGTTCGTGAGACGCGTCGCAAGAGTCGTCCTTCGCCGGATCCTGGGTGGCAGCCTCAACCCCTCCCCGGACATATCACCGACTGTCCAGTGACCGAGGACGCGTCGCTCAGGTGGTGGTGTTGGTCACCCCGCGCACTTTTTTGCCCCGAACGGCGGGCAAGCCACGACAGGTTTGCCTTTCAACGCTACCTGCTTCGCTGGTTAGACTGCGTTAGGCTTGGTGCTGCATCGCACTGCTCTGAGTCTTCGTCCGTTCCCACGTGTCCTATTTTATTGGTGTTGTATTTGTGAGCATGTGATTACACATCGATCAGTGCGACATGGGACGTTGTTGTGTTCCCGGGTGCCGCGGCAATTATGACAGTGGTCCCAAAGTGCGTGTTTTCGCATTCCCCAAGGATGAAGCTCGGAAGAAGTCTTGGATAAAAGCCATTCCGCGAAAGGATTTCACACCAAGCATACACTCCAAGGTGAGAAACTGCTGAAGTTTGTTGTCTTACCGGCTCTATCGCATTACTGGCGTTCTGGCTCTGTTACTGTTGAACGGAGCGAGTATCGTGAGTGGTGATGGTAGTTTTGTCGCGCTTCAGGTAGGGCAGTGCGGTAAAATAGAACAGAAATACTCAGGCTCGTGTGAAAGTTCCCATTAGCCCGTTTCGTATGAAAGTAATGAAGTCACTGTTATGCTTGGCGCAGGTCTGTGAACTCCACTTCCTCGAGGCTGACTTCATCACAAAGCTGTCACATTTCGACGCAGCGTCGGGACGGACATTGACAGTCGACAGCGAGAGGGTGCGCCTAGTGTCAGATGCTATACCATCGGTGTTTCCGAACTGTCCGTCCTACCTGAGCTCGAATCGCAATCATCGAGAATCTCCTGTCTCGAAACGAGCTCGAATGGAAGACGAGGCCTTGAGCAAAGCGATTAAGGACTCTATATGCACAAAAAAAGCGAAGGGGAGAGAAATGCTGTGTCCTCTTTCGAACACTTAAGAGGCAAGCTTTCTGCTGTGTGCAGTAATGATTTCTGGACCATCAAGGCCAACGATCGTTGTGTGATGTTTCTCCGCATCGAAGATAATCCTTCACCGCACGTGAGGTTTTCCGTCACTGTGCTTGCTGATCTCTCACTTGCAGTCTCAGCAGGTATGATCAAGCTGGTTTCATTACCTTGCGGAGGCGCAGTTCCAGACGCAGTGCGTGACATCCGGACGTTGTCCTCACTGCTCCAGCAGCTGGAAAACCACATGACTGAGACGCCTGAAGTTGCAAGTCCGTCGAAAACAGCGTCAGTGTTGCAGCATATCGGCTCCTTGTTGAATGAACTGTCCCAAGACAGTGACACGACCGAAGAACACAGTGCTTTGTTTCGTTTGCTAAATGAGCAAATAGCTCTCGCACTCGCTGCCCCCATTCGTCGCTACAGTGCTGAAACATTAGTGTTTTCTAGCATCCTGCACTCCATATCTCCGCACGCCTATAACTTTGCCAGATCAGCGTCGACGTTGACTTTACCCCATCCTTCAACCCTGCGCCGCGTTTGTTCCAAGTATGGAGGCGATCCACTGAAGGAGCAAAACGAAGCGAACTTCCTCTCCTACATTCGAGAAAGAGTGACGTGCATGCAGCCGCACGAAAATACGGTGACCCTAATGGTTGATGAAACTCATATCAAGCCATACTTCGATTATAAAGGGGGCAGCATAGTTGGATCTGCAGCCAATTCTCAAGAGGCAGCCACAACCGTTCATGTTTTCATGCTTCAGTCGCTCTTGTCATCAAACAAAGATGTGCTTCATTCACATTCTTCCTGTTGCTAAAATGACCGCCGAAATTCTACATGAGTTCTGCAAGAAAGTAATTTTAGAAGTTGAATCTATGGGCCTCAGGGTCATTGCTGTAATTACCGACAATTCCCTCAACCGGAAAATGATGTCGTTTTTCTCAGAGAAACAGGAAGTAAGCATTCTATATCCTCATCCAGCCGACAACAATCGGCCTCTGTTTTATGTCGTAGACCCTGTGCACATACTGAAATGCATCAGGAACAACTGGATGA